TGAGGTCCCAATAGTTCATTTTTTTTTTTAATTTTTTTTTTCAACATTTATTTATTTTTGGGACAGAGAGAGACACAGAGCATGAACGGGGGAGGGGCAGAGAGAGAGGGAGACACAGAATCCGAAACAGGCTCCAGGCTCCGAGCCATCAGCCCAGAGCCCGACGCGGGGCTCGAACTCACGGACCGCGAGATCATGACCTGGCTGAAGTCGGACGCTTAACCGACTGCGCCACCCAGGCGCCCCCCAATAGTTCATTTTTAATATTCTTTTTATATGTCATTTGTAGAAGCTGTCACATATGCCAGAAAAATAAGACATCCAAGAAAATTTTGCTAGCCCAGATGTTCCAAATACCCTCCCATCATTTTGAACCTCTGGATTGACCTCTGACCCTGCCCTGACTGCTGTGCCCCTGTTATCTCTACCTTTCAGCAGGAAACAGTTAAGATTGGTCATCATCTCAATTCCTAATGGTAGTTAGGAGTCATGTGTTCAAAGAGGGAATATGATAGGAAAGGATGGGATTCGGTAGGCAGAAAGAGAAAGGTTAGGACCTGAGTGGAAAAAACAAACAAACAAACAAACAAACAAACAAAGAAACAAACAAACAAACATATTTTGCAACAATGCTGGGAGCTTCTGACCACAGCAGACTGTCTTGGGCTTAAGGTTCCTCTTAAGAAGCAAATGTCTGTGCCTTATGCTCAAAATAACCTATATATGAAAATGGAATTAATATAGAAAACAAGAGGAGGGATTGTAAGAAGTAAGGGAGATGATTCATTTTCAGAAATACCAAATAAAACTGTTGTCTAATTAACAATAGGTTTACAGCATATTGGAAATATGTATGAACCCTGTCCCCCCACAACGGAGTCCCAAATCCTTAGACACTTCACTTCTGGTTCCTCCCCTCTCCATTTTGGGGGCTTATTTTTGTGGGCTTTGCAATGAGCATGCGCCAAAAAACTGAAGTCTCTGTGTCACCTCAAGGAATGTACATTTGTTCTAATCAGACTGCTTTTTGCCTTACATATGCAAAGGCAACATCCGGGTAAGGGTGTAACCTCTGTAGTCCTCAGCCAATGAGGAACCAGGGGAGGGACTTACATGCTAGGAGATAAATTGTTGTGACTGCCTTGAGTGACACCCACTCCTGCAAGAAAGTTGATTAAAGCCTCGCTTCACTGTGCTCCGGGTCTCTGTGTCCCTCCTTTGATTGGGGCAGTGGGCTTATTCCTCTGATCTGACTTGAGCATCCTAGTTTCAGGGGGTTAGGAAGTTAGCTCATTTTTGTTTTGTTTGATTATCCTCCTAATCAGATTGTTTGCAAGCTGATATTAAAGTACTTACTTTTTCTAAGCCTAAGACAACACAGTGAAGAAAGGTGCCCAGGAATATCTTGGAAAATGAGACAAGGTGTAGAGTTTGCCCCAAATTTAAAATTCAGCACAAATAAGCTGCATTTGCATCACTAAGAGTTGCTGCTCCTTCCATGCTGGGACCCATTGCATCCTGCCTTGTGGGGAAAGCAATGTAAGCTCTCCATGCCTCCTCTGGCTTTCCCAGATACTGATGTCCGTCTGCTGAGGTTCAGTCACCTTTGCTAATGAGAAAGTGGAGCTAAGTTGCCAGTGAGAAAAAGCACTGAAAGAAAAGAAAAGTAGAAGAAACAGACTCACCAGGGCTTCAAAGATAACCACAGTGTCTACTATATGCCAACAACTGTCCCAGGCACAGGAAAGACCACAGCTTATAAGCAAACAAGAAAACTGCCAGATGGGGTAAGTCAGGGATTGGCAAAGAGTGGCCTATGTACCAAAGCTGGCCCA